TTTGCTCTTCTTGGCCAACAGGGTAATTCCTCAGCAGCTGTTAAAAATCACCACTGTGATGCCACAATATGAAAACACTGAGCAAAATTAAAGGAAGAAGAAAAGCTTCAGTTCAACACTTTTGTTGATATGCTCTTAAAACTGGCATTTTTAATTCTGACTGCCTATACTGGAATCCCCAAATTTGTTTTCATGCCCTCTTTATATGAACACAGTGCAGATTATTTGCTTTCTTATTTGCCCTCTCACTGTATTATTTTAAAACTGTGAGTTTGGTTTCTTTTTGTCATATCAACTTTACAAGAGTTTGTATCCTGGATCAAAGTCCTGAAAATTGGTACTCTCCAGCCCAAACAACACAGTGCTGGTGGTGATACTGCAAAGTGCTTTATAGGAAAGAGCTATTGCCAGCTACTGAGAAGTTTCAAACGGGAGGAAAACCAAAAAGTCTTTCAAATTTTGCTAAAAGGCACAGCTCAGTCTCTGAAGCCCACTCAGCACCTTGTATGAACAGTCCTCAACTTATTACTACTTGGGATTGAGTTTTGAAAGCTGGAGTCAAGCTCCAGTTAAGAAAGGTTCCCTTAGGATGAAAGGGGGAGAGGCCAAGACACAGGAAAAAAGTCAGATTCCAACATGTTAGATTCATTCTCCTAGCAGTAATTAGTAACTCTTAGTACTTACCTATCTACAGCTTCTTTAAAGTGTCCTGTATCCATGCCAGCTTTCTCTGAAGTCACTGAGGACCAAACCAGGTGGAAAATGTACCCTGATGTTTACTTTACCACAGCATGGATCAGTACTACTTTTAATTACAATATTCCCTGCACTGGAAAGCAGGAATACGTAAAGTTTTTTTGTAAATATAGCCACCAGACATGGCAAATGTCAAGATTTTAATGACACTCACTTTCAGTACTTTCCATCTTCAAAAGGCTTCCCACTGGTTGACATTGAGTAATGACTGTTCAAAAATGCCCTGTGAAGTAAGTGCTCCAAGTATAAAGCTGTTTTCTGGCATTCTTTCCCTTGACTTCATCACCTCCAAAGCCTTAGAATGGGAGCTGTATTCAATCACTGCTACGCAGTCCTGGCATATTAAAAACTGTTTCATGACTACATGGTTAGCAGGTAGGTACTTTTGCTGCTTAATTTGTCCAACATTTCACTGTAGTTGAGATAACTGGCTCAGCCTCCAGGCTTGGCAGGGTAGGTGCATGTCTGCCACTTGAGCCTTGCACTGCTGTTCTTAGATGCCACACTTCATTCAGGAGGTTTGTTCTTTTTCTTTTAATCCAGCCTTCAAGAATTTATTTCATAGCAGCTCCCATCTATGGGATAATTACGCTTAATTAGCTGTACTCAACATTGATGATTTCATAACATGCCACAAACAGGTGCCAATTAAATTCCTTTATTGGAGACAGAAACATTGCGTAATTACAGATTTGATGAGGAAAACTGCAAATAGTATAGACTGTTTCTATTGCCAGCAAATACAGTTCTTACAGGATTTATAGAAATACTAATATAGTGCTTCTTTCATGCCAGATGGTCAGTACGTAACAATGCCATTAGGAGCACTTAATTGTGCTTCTACAAAACCTTTAGAGAAGAATGAGGTAGAGTTTCCTTTAGTTTATCCAGTACTTTTTCACACATCTGTCCTTTACTGCTTTTATATGCTTTGGATTCTTGTAAAATACCCAGTTAACTTTCAACATTTGAAAAAACAGAGACCCTTCAGAGGTGTTTACTTCTCCCTCTCTAAGTTGCTAATTTCCCACCACTTATGTGCTGTAATTTCAGTAACTACTACTGCACCCTTCTAAATGCCTCAAAGACCAAGTGGATTGGGACTTCTGGCTTTCCAACAGAAATTGTTTGTAAATAGCTTCAGACAAAACCCTTACTTGTTTCCATTATGGCAAAGAACCTTTTACATTTTGTCACTCAGTGGTCAAGGTGAGTCCAAGCCATCTTCCCGGGAGACAAAGGGAATAGATCCACTCTTTGTGAACATCCTTACATGACTATGTGACTATGAAATAGTGTTAATTATGTGTTTGTCTTCTACTTGCAGTTCTAGTCAACCACTTGGCTTAATATAAATTATGGGAAAATACATCACTGACCTGTTAGATGGTATGGAGCACTACCTGCTTGACCAAATATTCCACTGTTTTACAACATATAGAAGTATGCTGCAGGTTTCAGTTAAGGTACAGGAGCCCAAGTTGAGAATGTAGGCACAGATGTAGGTATTTAAGCAACTGAGTAAGAGCATTCTTAAAAATCAGCATCAGTCTCTGATCCTGCTGGTGTACCTGGGTAGTCTCTCAGTTGGACTGAACAAGAATGGTAAAGATGTGCTTTTGACCTCCTGCCTCACTGACCTGATGGGTATTTTCACTCTTGCTCCTAACTAGCATGCCTGTTCTGGACACAGCAGACTTTTCACTTACTGCTCTGGCATTTGCTGCCAGCATTAAGTACTTAGTTTTAGTACAACTAGGGTGCAGTTATTTCACCCAAAATGATCACGATTCTAGTGGTGACTAAATCACAGTGAACAGGGGATTTGGCATCCAGAAAGAAGATGATTACATAAAGAATAAGAATGTTTGCTTTCTTCCTATAAGCTACTGCAATGTGATAAGAGTGTAATAGTTCAGCAACACTGTATCAGAATTCGAAAATGAAAAACAAAATTTTTTTTAAAGGTGCAAAGTTTAGAAGATTCCATGTTCACTTTGATCACAGAATGACAGAAAATCTGTTTCTCCAAGACAATACTGCCTGAGATAAGCTTCTGAGCTGCTCCATCTCCGCCTGAAATGACTGCTCTAAGCCTGACAGAATCAAGAATTACAAAGAGTTAGTGTTAAGAGAACCAGATCTTAGAAATTTCCCCAACTCATGCTTAGAAAAACGAACAATAAGCTTATTTTATCAACGATTCCCTGCATACCTCTTTGGTAAAAACCAAAAATGGCCAGTGTTGGGAAACCATTTGGAACACTAGTCAAATACTTCCACAAAGTTGTCTTCCGAGTTCCTATCTTAACCTTACCCAGCAGGTATTTTAAAGGACTTAAAATTTTAAATCAAGGACTTAAATCTTCCTTAAGATCGTCCCATGAATATGAAATTTAAGACTTTTTTTTTAAGCATGGCATGAAAATGGAGGATTGTGGTAGAAATCAGAAACAATGAATTAAGTTTTAAGATAAGCAAAGAGTACAAATTAATGTTCAGAGAGAATCATGCTGTTACTACTGGTGAATATAATTACCATTATGTTTTTAGTATATTTGAGTGTGGTTAACATTGCTAGAGTGATTCATGAGACTTCTGTTTATCTGAGCTACTAATTCCAAAACTCAATTCCAAATCTATTGACTAATCTTTTTAAAAATCTTTTTTACTGGTGTAATTTCGTATTGCTCTTCATCTGCTAAGTCCTAATGTGGCTGACTGTTCTAGCTCAAGGTAATGGCCAAGTTAGTTTTGTTTATAGAGCTGGGGATATATTTGCCAAGTGTACTATAGATGGCACTTAGAGAAAATATCCTGGAATTCCTACTAATAAGAATCATGCTCAAAGCAAGGCATGGACAGGAGGACTGCTACAACAGTATTTTTCACCAATGCAATGCCAGTATTCTCTTTTTCTCTTATGGCAAAAAAAAAAAAAACTTATTAAGAACTTTTTGAGCTTAAATTATTTAGGACCTATTAATTATTTTTCCAAATCTTGAGGACAGAGACAAAATACGCAAAACACAGGTCTTTCACACTTCCAAACTGGCAAGCATTGTAGTTCAGCAAATTTTTGGATCAATAAAGAGGCCTGTCTCAGTGCTACATGACCAAGTGCACCTCTAAGATCGTCCCATGCTATTGACTTTATATTGAGAGGTGTCATGATTTCTTCAACCATCATTTTTTTAATAGCATAGCCCAGTTTGAAGTGAATTTCTCTTGTCAAGATCATACTGTATGCTAATTTTTATATTCTGAACTACACTTGTTACACATTTATGGGTTCATGCAGCAAAATGCATTTCTCATTTAAATAACATTTTTCTCTGCATAACCAAGTTAGTCTATTCTAATGTAATCCTTGAAATACTGGACTTAGCATGGAAAATATTCTTGTTGCTTAAAAAGCATTTTCTTAAGCTTCATTTGATCTGTAATGAAATAAGTTTTTAAGCAGAAGTTTGGATTAGAGTTAAAAGTGGCATGAGTGGTAGTACTACTATTATTCACTTAGAAAGAGTTTAGATCACTTGTCCCACAAAGTCAGTGGCAGTCTGTTCAGGGATTGTATGTTCTGGTGGTAAAGCACAGTTTTGATCCCTCAACACCTAGAATATGAAAAAACAACTTTTTCTTTTTTTAAATTGTCACTACTGCTAAAAGCAAGAGGAATATAAATTTGCTTAAACAGTCACTTTTAGATATGAGACAAGAATAGAACAATGGGGTAAAAGGGGTGCAAGTCTGTGAATGGGAGAGAAGACAGCAAGGAACAGGGCAACAACTGTCTCAGGGCATGCTCAGCCATTATTACAGCTGCCACCTTTCAGGACATCAGCCTGTCACTAGAACATTAAAATTTACCCCCAGTAGGGTGTATCCCATACAGAGAAAGACAATATATCACAGTCTATCAGCCTGTGCCACCAGCTTTGTATATCTCTGTATTCTATTCCATAGCAAGGCACAGTGAACAGAAAATTCACACTCAGAAACCTGCCGGGATTATGCAGATTGTTTTGGAGAGGCCATTGAATTCAAGAGGGTTCCTCCTCTAATTAAGCAGCTCTGACATCAGTCCCAGCTGTTTTTCTGTCTACCACTTGGAAGACAGACATTTCAAATAACTTACACTCTAAATTACTTTCAAGTATCACATTTTTCCAAATTACCATTCTTCATGCCTGAGGATAAATAATAAAAATAAATACACAGGAAAGGACCTATGGTATCTATCATGGTTTGAATTAGGCAAACTCCAGCAAGAGGTTATGTACAAAGAGGAGGAGTGGCTGATAACTGCTTTTAGGCTTGAGATTATTGAACAGGTGTAAACAATGGCTGGGCAGAGAGATCTCACTACTTTGCTTTTGTCTTGTCTGTCTTCCCTTCTATACCCCAGAAAAATCATGTTTGCTTTGCAGTGCTACAGACTGAACAGATTATCTATCCTAGGAACCTTTATTAGCATTCTCACCTGCGTCTGTCCCTGTCAATTCTCAGTGAATTTGCCCTCACTGCAGTTAACAATCTGGTTAAGTAATGCCAGTTGCTGAAGCCATAATTCTTGGCACCAGAACAGCTTGTATGAAATGCCAGTTTCATGAAAATCCTCTTATTTGAAGGACTTTTTTCCTAGTCATGAAACATGCTAACCAAACTGAAAATTAAGGACATGCTCAATACTGAAAATAATAATCAAAAGAATGAAGAGAAGAAAGGATGTATGAAAATTAGATTTCATTATTATAATTTTAAAGTACCAGTGTTTGTAAAACATAAGCATGTGAAAGGCTGAATCTCATTTGATCAACCCAATTAAACATTAAATAATTGCAGCCAATTATGCAAATATCACATAACAATATTAATTTGTTGATCATTTTTGAACAGTTTCGAATTTTCCTAATGTTAGACTATCTTATGTCTTAAATGATCAATTAACAGAACCATAACTAAGTGATGAAGAATGGATAATTGCCTAGTTATGATGTATCATACTCTTTCTATGTAAATCTGTTGCAATTAAACAAATAGGGCACATGGAGAAAAGATGTGCAGATGTTCTTTTACAATCTGTTACTAGCTCAGGGAATACCACAGTTCCCTCCTAAATTTTACAAGCGAAAGCAAGGAGAATGCAATATCAAATACTGATTGTTATTTACACATGTTATTTCTTTCCTTTGGTTAATGAGATAAAATGCACCACCAGAATTCAGAGTAGGATAGCATGCAACATCAGAAGAATTTCCTGCAGTATACTGACCTGTCAGCTCTCTTATTTTAGGTTTCAAAGTTTAAAACCTATTCCCCTGGATTCCACTTGGAAACTAGCACAGCTTTGAGTTGACATAGACAGAGTAAGGCAATTAACCAAGATGTTAAAGACAACAATTAACACACACACACTATGTTTTCATTCTTCCCTGCAAGAAAAGACCACATATTTCTGTGGGTCATTCCACTATCAATTCTCTTCATTTTGAAGTCTCCATCAGCAGAGAAAAGAGAGGTAGTCTCTCTGGTCAGTGCAGGAAACCATGCAAAACACAACAAATTATACCATCTGGTTTCTCCATGCTAAATGACTTGCAATCAATTTAAGAAAAGTTTTACACAACTTTCAGGTTTTCATTTCAATAAAATAATTATTCTAACTGGTCCTTATCCATTCTGCCCAGTGAATAGATTGCTGCTGGTATACTTAGGCCTTCATGGGGATTTTCAATATATGGTATCATATATCAACTCTCTCAAAGCTAAGATGTTAAGGTATTGCACAACCACTTTGCCATGCATCTGAAGTTAGGTATTTTCACTTTTCCGTTTGCTGCTAAACCAAAGATGAATTTAAGGGTAAGATTAGATAGCTCAGTAGCAGTAAGCCACAAACGGTTGCTCATTACATAACCTTTAGAGAGCTCCACACCACACTCTGGGTAAAGGCACTCTTTAATTTTCAATACTGGTTTCGTTGGATAAAACTCTCTACCCCATGTTGCATCTTAACATATTCCTCGTTAATTTTTCCAGCCATCTAATTAAATAAAAGGAAAGACTACCAGCAGCTTGTAACACATAGTAAGATAGTGAACAAAGACCAGCACATGATACAGATTCAAATGGTCACAACACTATGACTACTGTAAGTTGTGCTTGCAGTTGTAGAATAAAGAAAAAATTATCCATCAATTTTTAACAACAGTTACATTTTCAGAGGGAACCTTCAACTGTTCTTCATTAAAAGATCAGACTGGACTGCAGTCAAAGATAGAAAAAATCATGATCTGAGGGAGCAGAAGAAAGTGATGGCTAAGGAAGAGTCTTCAAAATGTGACCAAAAATGAAGAGGAAGCCACAAGGCTGCTCTTTAACAGCTGAATAAGGCATGGATGGTCCATTAGAAATTATATTTTGTCTTTTTAAACTATGTTAACATATGTCAGTAACTACAAAGGAATTAATAAGCATAGGAGAGATACTGTTGGTCTTCAAAAAAATTAGAGTGCTAAATGCTTCCCTTAATACTGATGCATCTCTACTGCTAACTAGAACAAAAAATGTTTCACTTTTACTTCTTAGAGAACTCTAATAAAGTGTCAATAAAGTTCCACCAGTTTTATACTGAAGTAGCACTTTGGAACATTGATACAGAATATGGTTATCCTTTTTGGCAAGAGGTATCTTAAAGCTGTTCAATAAAGCTGTGTGCAGAAGGAGAAAGCTAATAAGTATTATAGAATGATCGTTAGTGAACATTTGCAGAAGTTACTTCCCCAACTATGGGCTACATGCTCTGTGTTGAATCCAAAGTATCAAGACTGCATGTGAGAAAATAGCATTGTATGAGATAATAATTAACCAGAATGAAATCAGGGTTTGAATGAAATCTCTTTCCTCCTAGACATTTTCTGTTGACAAACTGCTTGTTCCTTAACAGGAAGGCCCTTATACAGTACAGGTGCCAATGGAGGCTGGATACAGCAGGTATATGAAAGGGATGAGAAAAACATTTTTCTGACCTAAACTATGTGAGTGGATGATGAAAGATTCCTCAATCCAAACGTTTGGCTGCTGTGAAGAATGGGTTCAATTTTCACAGCCGAAATTGTCTAATCTCATTTTCTAGACACTCACCTGGAAGGCAACACTGTGTCTGCAGAGCCCAGCTCTGCTAGGCCAAAGGGGAATTTTTATCTCAGCAGGGCCTGACACAGCCTTTTAAATCATGTCTAGAAGGATGTATTCAACTGTTAGAGAGGTATGAACTGCCCAAGCAGCCACAGAAAATCCCCATGGAGGGAAGGGCAATAGGCCAACAGGGACCATCTTGCAATTCAGACTGACTCAGAGAATTTTGGGCTAAAGGCCAGAGTTATTGGACAGAGTATGAGGGCATCTACCAGGCTATGCAAACTCAGGAATCTCCCATACAAGCAAAGTATGAAAGGACGGAGTGTATGGCTAAATCTATTTGTTTCCCCAAGCACAGAGCAAAAGGCAGAATAATGTCAACAGAACCCTGTGGGCAGCTAACACACAACATCTTCATGTGACACATGTTCTGCTGATGGTGGCAGTAAACAAACCAAACTGAAGAGCAGTTGAAGAGCATTTTACAAGTTTTCAGACCGTATATAAGGAGGCACTAAGAAATACATCAGGAAAGTTCTATTGCTAACATTTAGCACCTCTACCAAGAAGACAGGCTTCTACCAACAGGATTACAGTAGAAATCAAAATGATTGTGTTCACGTTTGCTGGATTGTGGAAACAATCATCCTGGGGAGCAAATTGATACTGAGACTATGCTACGCACTGGCAGCTACAGAAGTTGTCATTATTTAGGTGTCAGGTCTGTCTGGAGGGTCTGAACTCTGCCACCTTCATGACACCAGCACTGCCCAATCGCTGTCTTCTCTTCCATACTGAAACAAAGCAAAAAATGAAGTTTAAGAATAAAAGTTAGAAGAATCAGTGTACATTTATGATAATTTCTTAGGTCTATCCTCAGAAATGTTCATATCCACTTCTCTAATAGTACATTATTTCTTATGCCTTTACTTGTCTTTGATTTGGGGGCACAGACTAAAGATAGCTTACTTTATCCATATTAGAATAGCTGGTTTAGGAAGGGGCAATGCTGATACTCGTTACAGATGACACAGAACAGTCCTGCTTCACTTCCATCAGTTTAATGCAGTTACTCCCTGAGGCCTCCTCACTATTCACTCATAAGTATGCCCCTGCTCAAGCTCCAATAAACAAACACATTTCATTTTATTTCTTTTTATTGTCAAGGTGGCTTTTTATTACAACATTCTGATTGAATGTGAAATAAAACCATCACAAATACCACAGAGTACAATTAGGGAGAATTGTAATCCAAAATAAAACAAGTTGTCTTTCCGTACACAAATAAATGTGATCACCAAGCAGAAATGAAGGCAACCTATGACATGCAGCCATATCCCCTTCCAGGGGAGGATACAGCTCCAAGGCAGCACTTTTGACTGCTAGACTGGTTCCATGTTCTAAAGCTCTGTCACCAGATCTGTAAACAATGCTCCAGAGAGACACCAAAACACACACATGGCTCAAGTAGGTAAATAATTCAGAGGTGGAGAGACAGCAGCAGATGGGAGTTGGGAGTCCTCTCCCTTATAGTGTTATATTCAGTGTTATATTTCAACCAGAAAATGAAGACTGATTTTAGAGGCTTTACGTTGGCTAAAAAAAATCACTTAATTTCTCCAGAGTGGAAAAAAGGAAGTTCCTCCAATACAGGTTCTGCATCAGTAGGAAGAGGTAACAGGTCACTAAAGCAGGGAAAAGATAACAACTCCAAATCAGGATGAGCCAGAAGAAACACATTTCTAGATCCACAAAGGAATGGTGTTTAGTGGGTTTGTGTTTTACTCTTTATTCCAGCAAGCAAAGCCTCCAACTGACCTTCACAAGTATCACATCTACTTTTTCTTTTTATCATTTAGTTCTGCTGTTCCTGTTCTGCAGTTGAAGTTATTTGTAAATTTTGCTATCTTTAGGCAGTAGTATCATCTAATGCTCTGCATACAGAAATTGTTGCAAGAACTGGTCTGAGTTGCCATTTTACTAGAGTTTGTGCCTGCTCCCAGAATTGAAAGGGGAATGAAGATGCAATACCACAATGAAAATTACTTCTTTCTGCAAATAAAAGCAGATTTAGCTTCCATTTTTAATTCTGTCAAGGGCTTTGTAATCCCAGGCTAGTCAATCCGATCCCTCTTCCACTGTCCACCACCTCCAGGTCATTCTTTGTAAAAATCTACACATACACAGTCCTTTCCTGGTTGCTTTCCACTGCCCAGAGAAAGAAAGGGGGTTTGATTAAATGGCTTTTCTCTGCTGTCTTGCCTGCAGTGTTTAAATGTATTTAATAATACATAGCATAAGCAATAGATCTTATTTTCTACCCATCCCTTCCAAGTTGTAGCTTCACCTATGTCTTAAAGGGAAGAGCAAAGGCTTGTTTATTCTCAAAGCATGGAAGCAAACCCATAGAAACATGAGTGGTATTTCAGTGAGTGTATTCCCAGAGAAAAGAACCTCATCCCTAAATCTTCTAACTCAAACAGCTATGGAAGAGTGTACTATTACTAATTCACTCATAAGCACACCATTAATTTATATGATGGATGTTATTTAATTTGAAGTCTTTATCAGCCTTTAGTAATCATGATAGCTACTCAGTGACAGAAAGGGAAATGTGTATTGCAGAGCCACCACTCTCTCTCTCAACTGGCATGAGAAACTGAATCAGTTCTGCCCATGAGTTTCTAATTTGTCACTCCAGCTCTGGTTCCACTGAACAGCTGTTCACATCTAAAGACATCCCACTGAACACAGCAGACTTGCAAAAGAGCAATAGACAGCATGAAAACAGACTTGAAAACACAATGACAAAAAGAATATGAAAATAATAAAAGAAGCATGCACTGTACACAAGAGAACTGGTATAATGACAGTAGATAGGGAGCCTGCACCTTGTGGTCACAGGTTCACATGTAGGACATGGTGGTGCTGAGAATTTCTACTTTTTTACAAATTCCCAAAGTTCAACATGAAATGGATACACTGCCCCAGTTCACGCAACAGAACAACAAAGACCAAAGCTGTGTTTGACTGCTATTTCTATTGCATTTTATTCTTCAAAACTGGAAGATTCTTTGGAATTACAGCCTCAGATTGTCCAAATGATGTGACAATAATCCAGTAATAATGCAAAGAGATGTTATTTTTTTTCTCCTAGTAGAGAATATAAAATATCTTGGTCAAAGATTCTCCTCTGACACTTTAAGATTATTATATAATCCATTTTTTGTGTCACAGCATTATTTTCTGTATGACATCATGGGGTCCTTCTGGATATGAGCTCATCTCTCCACAGATAAAAAGGTGCAGAAACACAACCAGCAACCCAGCGATGGACTCTTAATGGGGAAGCAACCACCAATCTCTTTAAAATTACGTTTGTAATGATTATGTGTTCTAACTCTCCTGATTTTCTTAAAGAAGGAAGAGAACCCAGAATTAAGAATATACATAATAGTCCAGTATTTTCCAGGAGTAACAAATTTACTCCTGGCATGTAACTAATGAACACCGACCACCTACAAAGCTGAAAGGTGAAAAGGTCCACATCAACAGGCAAGTAAAGTGAAAAGGTCCAAGAAAGACAATGTTTAGTAACAATCCACACTTTTTCAGCCTCCAAATGAGCCTTGGTTGGTGGTAGAAAACCAGGATGATACGGCAAGAGGCAATGGGCAGGAACTGATGCCCAGGAAGTTCCACCTGAACATGAGGAAGAACTTTATTGTGCAGTGACAGAGCACTGGAACAGATTGTCCAAGGAGGGTGTGGAATCTCCCACACTGGAGATATTCCAAAAGTCTGGACATAATCCTGTGCCATGTGCTCTGGGATGACCCTGCTGGAGCTGGGACCAGGTGACTGTGGGCCCTTCCAGCCTGACCCATTCTGACATTCTATGATCAGGGAGGGCATGGAAGGATGCCCCAGGGAAAAGGCTGGATACGTTTGTCTTATGCTGCTCACTATCTCAAGGAAGAAACACACAGATCACAGGATGCTGGCAGGACCATGAAAATTCTAGTGGCAAATCTAAGAACACTTTGAGCCAAAAATGTAGAACAGAAACCATCAGACTCAAATTGAAGAAATTGAGTCTTCCTGGCAATACTGCCCAGCAACTGCTATCAGATCTTAAATAAAGGGGCTTTGTAACTTGCTAAGACCATCTTCTATCCCCAAATCCCCCACACCATAAACTACACTAAATAAGGAAAAAATACCCAGGCAAATTTAAATAAGGGCCATCACCTGCTGCTCTTTACTGAAACAGTATTAGTTCCTATGCCCAGACATAGAGATAAAGCACAGATTCCAAACAGACTTTGATATTTAGCAAACAGACAGATAGAGGAGGGAACTGTTTTAAGAATGAGAAGTGACCATGTGACTGGAAAGATAACGACACATAGAAATGATAATCAGCTGGCTGTGCCCAGTCAATGTTTCATTGCCTCACTCATCTCCTTATTGATTAAACTATACTCATTTGTGATTGTGGTTAAAATGCTTCATAATCCTGTCTTTTTCCCTTAAAAGCAACCTCTAACAGCAGTATTAGATTTCACTGATAACAGTAATATCTTGAAACTCTTACCCAGCTTCCAAGATGAATAGGGAAAATTATATTATACTTCAAACCTATCATACTTTCTGAAGGAAAGAAAATTGACAGAATAATCACACTAGACAAAAGGGTCTATATTATGAAATAATGCCATCTATAGCATCACTACCAAAAAGATTATTTTCCACTCCTTTCAAATATTCACCTTTTATTATTTTATCTGGTTATAGAAAAGGAAACACCTTACCTGGATATCACTTAGCTTATTTAGGAAACGGGTTGTTACCTCAGGCCCATTCTCCATAGTTGGAATGTGCAAGTGCTGGCATAGAATAAAGGAGAGGGAGAAGAGGAGAGAGAAAGAGAGTAACATGTAATAATAGCTTGACATATATATGGATACCTTATGCTTGCCAAAAATTTAGTAAGTATTTATCATGCTGGCTGGCCCTCCTTGTGAGTAGGAAAGGCTAGTTAGTTTTGGGGTTTTTGTTGGGTTTTTGGTTGGTTGGTTTTTTTAAACTGGAGGGCATTGCTAAGCCAGTAAAAAGCTAATAGTTAACCTGTTATGCTGTTGTTCAATAAAGGCTAATCTAAGCTTTCCAAGAGATTTGTCCAAAATGGAGGGAATATTGTGCAGGCAAGAGTAGCAACATTATATACAGTATTTAATTTCAAAGTATATTCTGTAGAAATACAACACTTATATTTATAGTACTTATCACTCAGCACCTCAATGTTTCACATTATCTTAGCATCAGGTAATATCAATACATTTATTCTATTTTATTCATTCAGGAAGTATCACCTAACAGACATTTATTGCACTTACTGTGTTTAGTGGACAGAACACAACCCTTTATGCAGCTGCATTACCCCTAGTCCTCTGAACTAACTTTGTGCTCACTAAACAATATAAAGTCAGCTTAACAGTCTGGGGAATTCCACCTGTGCAGGAGAAATCTCCCATATGATGAATAGTAGGTGAAAGCAGCTGTGCAGTGTCTTGAAACAGCTCTTCCATCAGAGCTGCGATCTCTGCAATGAGGGGTGAAGATGAGAGGAACTTGAGAAGGGAGGACAGCAGAAATGTGGTTCCTGTGGAAGTCTTTTCTCTCCTCACCCTTCCCTTAGCAAAAAATACTGAATAAAAGAATGTGGGAGAATGTATTTTTTTACATTTGCCAACAGGCTGGGAATTTTTTTTTCTTTCACTTTCCCAGAACTTGAAACTTTTATTTCAGCTATTAGGAAAAACCCCAGAAGACAAGAGGGAAAGTTCCTTCTGACAACTCACTTGGGAAAAAACATACTGACACTGTTCATCTTTCCAGGCAGTGCACCTTTTCTATCTCACTTGGTTTTGGCTTCAGTTGCAATTAACTGTGATAAAATTCAGAAGAAAGAAGGAAAGGGGTAAAAAAAAAGACATTTCCTTACCTTGCCCTTATATAAAATTTTAGAGATGGGACATACAATACAAGCTGTCCCAGCACCAAACATCTCCTTTACTCTGTTCTCTTCCAAAGCAGCTGTCAGGTCACCCATGGTGATGTACCGCTCAGACACTTTGAATTCTCCCTGCACAAGAAGATGCAACCATAAAAATTATAAACAGTTTAAAAACGTTAGTATTTTTTTTTTCTACATCGAAACATTTTCAATAGAAGTTTTAACCTAGTGACAATAAGTCAAGTTTTGACTCTGATCTTGTAACCATTTCAAACATCCCAGTATCACACAAAGTAGATTTTCATCAAAAGAATGCCCTGCAGAGATGCCAGTGGTTTGCCAGATACAATGCTGATGATTAAGTGGCACTTCCCTCTGTTTTGCTGCAGAATATCAGTATCACATTAGGGAATAACAAAGAAGAATTGTTATGGAACACTGGATCTCTCTACTCATGGTCTCCAGCTTTTTAGAGTTTGTCCAAAAATTACTCAATTATGTCAAGAAAGCCTTTGCATCCCACTCTCAGACAACTCCTAAGCAAGATACATCCTGTTGATGTTAATTTCGCCTTCTAGGCCAATTTATGTGACGTATTTTTTTAATCTCTAGTGAAATTTTCCACTGTAGCCTGCACACAGCTGTCACATACAAAAATTAACTGTACTGCAGGTGTGAGTAAAGCTATTTGCACTGGACAGTCTTAATACCAAAAGTGTTTTATCTTCTACAAGAGTTGAAGAATGCATAGGAATCAATTGAAGGGATGTGTTTCAAGAAAAAAATTATCATCAGACTTGGAAATTTTTATTTAATGTACATAATATTCCTGTTATCCCACTCTAAGCCCAATCCTAGCCAAATCCAGGAGACAGGATACTGGGCTTGATGAGCCTTTGGCTGTGTAGCATCTTTACCCAGGCTGCAATAAAACCCTTGAATACAGTAAGGCAGAGTTTGCTGCCTTCAAGAAATCATCTAGTCCCAAGTGCCCAAATAAGTTCTTGGATTGCTACACTACAGAACAGGAATGGGAAACAGACAGATGACTTCAAGACTGTGGCTGGGTAGGCTGCATGCTAGTTAGCAGAAACAAGGTTGAAAGCATGAGAACTAAATGCAGAAATAATGAGCTGATGACTGAAGTATAGCTATGGTCATGCATGGTAATTCTTTGTTTCCTTGCTCTAAGTTGCTGGTACCAGCAGATTTAATGAGAATTTTCATGTTAAATACTACACGGAGCTCCTTTAACAAGCTTGGTATTGTTCTGTGTGACAGGTGTGGGTATTCTGATGATGCTCCTGAGAATCCCTGAATTAGCAAGCCCTTAGTTCCCCTTAGGTTAAAGAGACTGAGTGCACACTCAGCAAGTCTTGTCAGCAACACCAAGCTGTGTGGTGTGGCTGACACGCTGAAGGGAAAGGGTGCCATCCAGAGGGACCTGGAAAGCAGAGTTTCTGACAGGCTGGACATAACTCTGAGCAATTTAATCTAGTTGAAGATGCCCCTACTCATTGAAGGGAGGCTGGAATAGACAGCCTTTAAAGGTCCTTTCCAAGGCCAGGTTGGATGGGGCTCTGAGCAGTCTGGGACAGTGGAAGGTGTCCTGCCCATGGCAGGGGGCTCGGAATGAGATGGTCTTTAAGGTCCCTTCCAATGCAGGCCTTTGTATGATTCTAGGAAGCCAGACTGGTTTATGATCGATTTTGGTTTAACCAAATGAGTTGAACCTTAAGATACTGAGCACTAGAAATGTTTACTTCTGCTGAAGTTAAAACATGATAATTGAAACCATCACTGCCAAAACACTCACCCAGTTGAGTGCCAGATCCAAAATGCTTTGCCTTGTCACTCCAGGAAGGATGATGCCATCTAAAGGTGGCGTTGCCAGTTCATTTTCTGCCAAACAAAAGAGAAGAATTGGTTGAAAAACAAACTTAGAAACAAACAAACAAAAGTTTACTGATATTACACTAAACATGTAAGTCCCTTACAATTCAGGATATTCCATGATTCTGTGGCATCAAAAATAATCCCTATCCCGTAAGATGCAACATTTATCAGAGCTCTCCAAGAAACAATCAGATATTCAGTTCAAGTAAGTTGTTGTTGAGTGTTTGGAACCTTTTGGGTACACTTCAGTGGGTGGGAAGAAACATCCTTAATAGATTAATATACACATGCCTAGTGCCTTGTAGGTGGCACTTTCTCAGTGTATTGTAGGTATATCTGTGTAACTGCACTGTGTTACTACTGCAAACTATGAAATGTTTCACTCTCCAGATTCATAATAGAAAGGCAGAGGGAAAGCCATGTCTAACAATCCTAGGGCAGATCACAACTTTCCCTGAAATGTTTTACTTAATTCAGGAATATGGGATTTAGTATATCCATTTCACAGCAGAAATATGAAACATTTACCAAAAGTTTTGAAGTTAATTTAATGAACCAGCAAAGCAATGGAAATCTTGCCAACCCTCCTTGGAAGGAGACTTCCTTAAAGATCCTTTGTTGTAGTCTAGACATCCTTTTTCCATACTAACTTTCTCTTTACACAATTAGAGCAATCATAAGAAAAATACAGCAACAATTCAAGTTGTTCAAGTAGTTTGGTATGTTAGCTAGCTTTTCTTGTTTGCTTTTGAAAAAGAGCAGTAAATAAATGTTCATCTAACAAAATTAGTGAAACAGTAGATAAATGGTAAACAATAAACACTTGGTTAAAATATTCATGCTTGGTAAATACTTAAAACACAAGTTTGTATGTAGACTTTTTTCTTCCATCTGATCTCTGCAGCAATCAGAGTCAATACTTTTCATTTTAAGCCATCACATAGTGTATTCACTGGTTTCTATTATCAAAGAAGACTGACCTTTTACTCTTTTCAGACAGAGGCTTTTAAGACAGTCTCAAATTTGCACTGAGAAGTCAAGACATCCAGAGTCTTTCAGTATTACTCTTCATATTTTTTCCTAACTATTTTATTTCCCTACATATAATCCTTTTTCTTTCTTTACCTTATAAGGATACTATCCCAGCCCAATAAATCCACAAACCATTAAGAGTTTTTTTGGGTTTTTGGTTTTTTTTTTTAACCTAGGTCACATAATGAACCCAAAATATATATATTATGACCCCTTTCTCCCTGGCTGCAAAAAGACCACTGAATCCAGGCCTGATTGAACTTTTCTCAAAGGAAAACCTCTCTTTAAAATATTTCTATAGATTCTGTGAATACTTGCAGCTGGGTGGAAGTGAGAAATATGGTATTTGTCCTTGGTCTGTGGGAGCAGGTTGAGATCAGCTGCTCAATGCTGTCTTCAGCACTCAACAAGATATTTCTGTGCACAAGCACTGCCTGTCAGCTCCAGACAGAGTATATCCTGGGCTCCCCCACTCTGCAAGATGGGGTATTGGGAGCTGGGATGGGACAGGGGAAGTGGAGGATAAATTCATGGAATCTGCCACTCACTGTCCATTCTCTCAGAAAATACCTGTTACTTCCTAATGCAGCCACCCCTCGATTTATTGATTTGGACTCTCCTACCATTGCTTCTATGTTCCTTTTATCTGTACACACATCAGTAATACATGTAAACTGCCATACCAAAATGTATAGAAACGCTGCTCTAGAACAGTCTGTATGTTCTGCTCTGGTTTGACTGGCCCACAGTGCCATTTACCAACCTAACCCTGACTTCCAATTACATCAGCCATCTCTTCTTTCTTATACAGTCAGGAAGAACAGCATTCCCTTTATGGAGTCTAACATCATTCCTACTTGTGATGCATGTCTGGTCCTAATTCTGGCATAACTATCACAAGGAGAAGACTTTAAAACTTTCCATGAGACACAGGGCTCACCTGATTCTAAACACTGAAAACCTGATATTCTGCATTTGTGGCACAGTGACAACCTAATACACTCCTTTCTTTAACAGAAAACTTCAAATACTGCAGACTTTGATACCAAAGACTGATTACACTTCGCTGTCTGATAATGTTGCCACAGATCTTGTCCAGGACCTGTTTAAGCTCAATAACATATATTAATTGATTTGAGCTAGTTTGGAAAGGTGCCAGGCCAAACCAGCCACCAAACAGCACTGAGCAGACAGGACATGAAAGTCTCAAAATGTTCCAAACAGGCTGCTCTGTAGAATTTTGTCAAGTATGCCTACCAGCCTGGGGCCACCCAGGGAACATCTGCTCCCCTGGTATCCGGCAGAGATGATAACACTATCCAACATGGCATGCCAAAAGCTCATCCTCTCTGTGAACTGATGCCAAACCAGGCTCCATATGACATCAGTTTGTCCATCTCCCAAAAAACAGACTGTGAGCTCACAGACTCCATTTGCCTTCTGAATTATTTTCATGGGCTTAAAATGTATAGTTGCAAAAAGAAGAAGAAAAGCATTTGAAGGGAAACGTTAGGGTTTCTCTTCAGTCGACTCCTGTTATTGTTATAGGAGCAGTACTGTCTGCCCAGTGCCCTGTTAAACCTGGTATAGACTTGCTCTAATAACATAATTCCATTAGAGTGTTTAAAGGGGTTTTTTAAATGAGGTCTTCCATACTACACACCTTCAGCTTTTAAACACTTGTATTTATGAACATAGAGCAGGTAAAATTACACTCATGAGATGCCTGCAGTAGTAGCCATTCTGTAACAATCCCAAGAAATTCACCTAAATATATCTTTTACCAAAACGATAAATTCTAACTTCAAGATCAAGGAAAACTCAGAAAACCCTTTTTTCACTAATATTAACAGCTAACTTATTCTACCAATTTGTTCTGGGTCTTTCTCCTTACTTCCCTCAGGCTTTTCTTCAACTCTACCCTCATGCAATCACTACCTTTGTATCTGTCTATTGATTTGCTTTCCTCAATTACTTTTTTCACTCTTTGCTTTGTCTGCCACTTCATTCATTTGCTGCTCGCCCCTCCACTCTATTGCTGGGGCTCTCTACTAGAACAGAAGCTACAATCCTGATTTTGTTAGTACTGTAATTGTAGAAAACACTTCTGTGGCACAACTAATTTTCCAAATGTAGAATACTTAAAAAACTTGCCTTAAATTTTACCTGATTGTTCCAGAGAATCTTTTAACAGATTTACTTTTTAATTTATGAAATTTTGAAGTGAGTGCCATTAATGACCATTTCAATTACAGCATAAAAATATTAAATGCCTGAATACTATTCACAATGCCTTTAAAGATAGAAGTAGAGCCCAAATGGTTGCAAATCATTTTGAAGAAAGAGAATTTTACAAAACTGCACACAGATTTCATAGTTAGCCATCCTCAGGTTAGACATATGTTTAAATTTTAAGGTTTTCCATAAAGCCAAGCCTATATTCTAGACAGAAGAGCAGACATTGTGACAGGAAGTGAGATTCGATGTCAAGAGCTTCTTGGGATAGTTACATGCTCTGAAGAGGCATGTGGAAGGGATTGCAGGGTGACTAAGTGTTTTGCTTAGTGAACAAACTATAAATAGGATTTGATTAATGAAGTATTTATGCAATAGCAGGAATTCAGTTTTGGCCATATTATAAGTCTTAGAGCAGCAGTGGGAATACAAAAACAAGTCATGCTATTTTACCAAAAATTGAACAGTTTTTTTTCTCCTACTCCCTCCTTGATGTTACAAACAAAGCATTTTTTCAGGCTCCTTCTGCCATCCAGAACAAGATGTCACCTTTAGGCACAATGCTGTAACTGAAAATATACAGCAAAGGCTGCAAGGAAAGCCTACTCCCATTGGAAGCATGGCTGTCCTCCAGTCCAGGCTTTACTGGGCTAAGCCTCTGGTTATAAACCAAGGAGAGCAATTCAGCTCTCGGCAGTGACCTCAGAACACACAAAGAAGGGTATTTTCTTTTGATGATGATCTGCAATTTCAGCCTCACTTTTTTTGATCCCTCTCAGCTGCAGCATTTGCATAACAAAACCAAACCACAGCCTAAGCAAGTGTCCTTTGTGAAGTGACAGAACACAATGACAAGCACATTCTAAATCCCCTCGCAAAGCCACAGGCAGGTATGTGATGACACACGTTGGCAGCTTGAGTGATTCTCAGCCAAAGATCCCACAAATTAAGAGTTACTCAACACCCTGGGAGACAGCAAAGTGTTCCATGAGGATAATGCCCGTGTCCTTCGAAATGACAGGTTTGCCAGCAGACAGCCCGCTTGGGTGGCAGGAATTACAAGTTGTTTGCTACAGCCACCTCACAATAGCACCATTCAGCAGTGCACTGGTAACACAGTGATTGGCAGATCTTTGGAACAGTACGGTGCTGCAGCTGCATAATTCCAGCATATTCCTGGTTTAAGTACAATGAGAACATTGAATTCTAATTATGTGCCCGCTTCAGTGTCTTTCCCTGGGCAGAACGAGCCAAAATCTATTTTAATGTTTTTCCAGCTAAGTTCCACAAGGCATAAATTTGGCCATCTATCTACAGTGACAAATCGACTGCTGCTGTAACAACAAGAAAATGTCTAATATTTATCACTTCATTCATAAATGACAGACTCATTCACAGACTCATGCAACACTGAGGGAGTATTATCCCTCTTCTTACAAACGTGGTAAAGATTTTGCAGAAGAACAAGCAACAGAACTGGGGATGGATGTCAGGTAGCTGGATCCCCATCACACTACATTATCCAAGGCACACTGCTATCCCCACAAAATGCTGCCCGTTTTCTGCAGCTGGGCACTGTCAGAAAGGTGACAGTTTTCAAAGGTACCCATGGCACTACAATGAAATCAGTCTGACCCCTGCATCTGCTGCCATGCAAAAATTCAGTAACCAGGATTCATGCAAGTCATGAGGTATCCTTTCATTCCCTTGCCTGTAGTCTTCCAAACCAGTTATCAGGTGCAGCTATTGCAGCTATCACATATCAAGCACTGAATACTTGCATGCCCAATGGGTGGTTTTGAGAGGCCTAAATAACTGCCTGCTCATTAACTAGACAGGTTTTAATCAGCATGTACCTTACTCAGAGGTGGAAAGAGATAAAAATAGTTTCAAGAATGATGATACATCTTGAAAGCATCTTTTGAGCATTAGTGATACCAGACATTGACTGACATGTTTCTCCCTGTCACCACTGGACAGAACCTCAAATTCTTCAAAGAAAACAGTTTCGGACTGGATGCTGAAAATACTTTTGGATATGGTTCAGGAATATTTGACTTGCCAGCAAGTGATGATGGGAGCCATACTCATACTCAAAGCTACGAAGTCTGAGGAGTTGAACAGCCATAAGTTGCCTTTTACCACATCTGCACTGCTTCTGAGGCAACACCCTGAAGGATCAAATATCCTGCTGACATCAAAGCTGATGTGTGACCTTGTGCATGGCTGGACTCTGCCCTTCTGAGCATGTGGACTAGCCTATCAGTTTAGTCTGTTATCAGCAGGCAGCACTCACAGCTGCTCCAAAATCTCCTCTCTCTAAACTAACAGTCACCTAGTAATTTTTAGAAGAGAATAGGAATTTCGTTTGCTAAACCATCTTCATTAAAAAGCTTATGATCCGCATTCCAATAATAATTTTGTGGATTACAGTCCCAATTGTGTACCCTGCTAAAATTTTCACACTTTATGTCACCATACCTCCATCTTCATTTATCCAGTAGAGAAAGAGATTCATTGTTCCAACTTCAGTTATTTGGTGATCTTCTCCATAGAGCCACAAAACCTGCTGGCAGCCATACTCCAGGGCTTCCTGCTGGGCATAAATAGTAGAACCGTAATTCCTTCAGGGAAAAAAGAAAAAAAGAGTTATGAGTACCTGGTTGGGCATCATCTCAATTTAAACAAGATTTTGTGCACATCTACCTCATGAAGAAATGCTTTGCCACAGTCACTGCTTGTCTCTGGGATATTTTCATTGGAATTTCTCCACTAATATTTACTAGATCATTTGTACCTACAACCCAAAATCTTTGAAGAGCTGGACAGCACCAACAACTCAAAAATATCCATCCAAATTGTCTTAAACATACCTCTTGTTCCATATTCTGAACATTCTAATTATTACAACTAAAAACATTCAGAAAGTATTTATCTTTATTTAGCAGTCAGCATCTTGGAGAGAGACCAACAATTCCCCTCCATCTTTTGGGGTTTTTTTGTGTTTTTCCTGGGGTTTTCTTTTGTGTTTTTATTTTAATTCATCTACCTCATGTCAGATGGGTAATATATGTTAGATGAAATTCTTGGAGCATAAATATCATCAGAGGTGAGGTGGGTTTTTTTCTAACAAAAGACATTCACAGAACTGGCATCTTCAGGAAATGCAATTGTCTCTTGATAAATTCCATATCCTTTCGGAGCAAATGTTTTTCTAAAATGCTGCCTACAGAGTGAACCTGACTGAATAATGCCCGCTGCTTTAACGGGGGGAATGCTTCTGATGTTCAACAACCTTCAAGATGCAAAGTCAGCAGCTCCAAAATGCTGATCACATTGAAGTCAAGTTCTCACCTCTGGGCACAAATCAAGTCAGTAATGACTCCAGACTACTCTTTTTCACAGCTGATGTATGAAGGATGCACAAGAAAGAATATATTTCTAGAAGCAAGGAAAATCTCATAAACAAAGAGCAAAGGTTCAGAACATCAGCTGGAACGAAGGAAAGTTATTTTCCTGCCCTCTGATTATTCTACCAGCCCAGTTGAGCAGTACTTGACAGCTACTGACTTCCTGCCAAGCAAAGAAACTCCTGGGTAGGACAATCCAAGGAAGAACTGCTCCTTGCTCTGTTGGCAGCAGGCTGTGATACTGATGATGCAGCACAAATTGGTAACTTCAGTGTCAACTGATGCTAGGGCAAGAGCTAAAACATTTACATGTACACCTTCCAGGTGCAGTTCCTCAACTTGAGATGCTGCAAAAAAAATCAATTGGCTGTAATTTTCAAACAAAAATATGTGACTGAGTTGCATAAACACTATTTGCAAAATACAATTTTGAACTCTTCATTGTAGTACATTGTTTGTTTAACTACTGCATTTAATGTCTCTATTTCTGCTGGATTAGATACTTCAAGCCAAATCTACTTTGTGAACTGTGTAGAAAATGCAGGATAATGTTTTCTTACCCTCCCAGTTTGCAGTCTCCTGTTCCCCCTTTCCACGCTCTTACGTATTTTGGATCTGCCCATAAGGATATTGGATTAAAGCTTCCACTTGCAAAGTAAGGGCCCACAGGGCTCAGTATGACGTACAGTAGGGCTTTAGTCGGCTTCTTCACTCCAAGGGAAGGCTGAAAATAGAGAATGTAAATAAATCAAAAGTTACTGGTATCATTCAAACATTAGGTGCTGCACCATCAGCTCTTGAAACACAGTTTTCAGTGGAACTGAAGCATGAGAGTGCTTTTACCAGGACAGTGCAAAGTGCTGCAATGAATAAAAAATATTTCTATAACTGTCCTCCTATCCAAGCAATGCAACAACCCTAATTTTATATACTGTCACCATTCACTTACAGCCATTCCATTTATCTATATGTTATTCTAGTACTCTCAAATAGTTTCAAGTTTTTGAGAATTCAAAGATTAACTTAACAAGGTGCTATGTAATTATATGAATTAACCATACCAGAAGCCCACAAAGCCTTCTGTAGGAAGGACTGGCAAGACCACTCCTAGCAGTAACAACAGTGGAGAAACCACTGTCAGCTGCATTATTGAGAAGAACTGTCCAGTGCCACTGAGAACTGGCATTTCTAGAGTTGAGTGCTGACTCTCTGAATGCCTGTGTGACAGCTAAAATTATTCGCCTGCTAAAAATAGCTCAAACAACAGCAGAGGAAATAACCAAGAATGTAACAGTTTTTTCTCCCCTTCCTCTCTGAGAGATGGCTTCTCACACTGCAAGTCACCATCAATACTTGAAGGTGGAGGTGGGAAGTCTGGTGTTAGCCAAAGTTCTCCAGGTGCTGAAAGGGCTCCTTTGATTTCTGTCTACCTTACTGCTTCAGAAAGACTTCTAACAGGATTAACTGAGATCTTGATATTTTTGCTGACATGATCATTCAAAAGATTGTGCTGGCTGGGTTTCTAATGGGGGTGATTCATAAAAGCCTAGTAGGACATGCAACATGGAAACAACACATGATAGTGGAAAGGCCACAAATGTTGGCTATCCTGAAACAAAGCTCAGAGCAAAACAATTTCCAAAAACAAAAACAGGGCTAAACACCCCAATTTTAATATCAGTACCTTATAGTCACTGAGTGGAGATTCTTTAATCTGAAAATCTGCATCTAGTTTAAAAACTATTAAATTAATGGTTTCCTAGAACCTAAGTGAAATGTAAAATGCTCACATATGGTAACTACTTACAGATATGGATATAGCAGAAGTTTAGCTTACCTAGTTTGGAACCTACATTCTTTAGCTTCCTTGTCCTATGCTCTACCACTATACATTTCTCTCTTGTTACTGCTGGAAAAAAGAATCCTGAAGGATTTAACAAAATAAACACTCTGTTTCTAATTCCTTCTGTCAACACTATAGAATTGCTTCACACATAAAATTCAGAGATGACACATGAATATCTATTTGCTAAGGAGCCTCTTAATTTACAAGGTAAAATCTTCCAAAAACTCCTCACTAAGTTCAGGTATGACTTGAAATTACAAAATGTACGCAGCAATTTGCGTTCCGTCATGTTCTCTCGGAATTATTAGGATTTTGATATTACCATGTCACATATAACTAATTATCCTTTCAGCACAACCCCAATTAACAAGTGTTGCTCCATTTCCACTGCCGAGTAGTTACTCCGTTCACTCTCCGTGCCCTGAGCCAGTGTGGCCACTAAGCGGCAGTGTGGTCAACGTCAAATTCCTGCCGTGGCGATACAGCCGAGGGACTCCAAAGTAAAACCATAAAACCCATCTGCCCCCAAACTTCATCCTGTCGCCTGCTGACAGCTGAATATTTCCTTTCATGGAAATTGCCTCTTACTTAAACAAACAAAAGTTAAGAGAGGAAAAAAGAAATACTGCACACCTCAGTTCCAATTAGGGTAGGACGGATATACAGGCTGGCAGAGGTTGAGTACGGGACCCATTCCTGTTCCACTTCCACAAGCTTACGGATGCACTCTAACAGCTCGTTCTGGTCAAAAGACTGGGAAGGAAAAAAAAGGAAAAAAGCAAATACAGAAATAAATCTGGAACACTTTGTGGTCTTTACAGATCCACATGCTACAGGGAACACTTCCTCAGGATATGCAACAATGCCATGCTGTAGAGGTTCACACCTTCCTTGAGTTCATTCCTCACAGAATTTAATATCCCATGGTCTTAGCTACTGTGCCTTTTTGTGCAGTATCCTGAATGACCTCCTTTGCTCCAAAGTATCCTCCTGAGATGGTAAAAAGGAGTCATTGACCCTTCTTGCCCCAAAGCATGTGGACAACTCCCTGTGCTGCCAACTCATCCGGGCATGCTGCAAGCTACACCACCACCTCTTCTACAGAAGAGTGCTCTGGTTTACAACTCCAAAGGGCCAGTAAGTCTCCCAAAGTTCCCAGTTCTTACAGCAATTAAGCTAATAAGCCTGGGAGGAAGTTCACTGACCAAGACATAACTGCTAAAAGCAGTAAGTTACTGGCAAAACCAAAACCAAAGGCACTCAAGAGGCTGAACAACTTAACTGAAGTGCAAAGAAGAAAAGGGAGAACATTAGCACCAGAGCAAATCACACAGCTGTTGGCATGCAAATACCTGCAGAACAGCATCAATTCCTCAGAAACACTCTGTACATCTGAGGCAGCAGGGAGACAACAATGAAAGCAAAACACTCACTGTTCTGTTTTTAAAATAAGCTTCAAAAATACTTTAAAATACTTCAAACAGTTTCCTTCAATGAATAAGATCTGTTAATGAAGTATTACTGAGCTATCAGAGTTAAGAGTGGTACTGCTGAAAAGCTTTAGAGATTTGTACTCTGACAATGAAAACTTCTTACTGAAGGAGCATGAGATGCCTTGGGTACCTACTGGCAGAGTTGTTCTCCGTGCTGATCGTGCCATGCGGGCCATGTTCAGGGTTGGCCGGAACAGGCGGATTTTGCCATCCACTCCTCGGTACGCCTTCATCCCTTCAAACAGCTACCAAGCCGGAAAAGGAGGGAAAAGAAATCCAGTAATAACTGAGACACGTTATCCCGTGATGATCTGTGCCAATTTTGGAAATAAAAGCTTCATCTTCCTGCTCACAGTACTCAAACACGAAAAAGCTAACTAGTGAATTCTGGCAATACACTTCAGTGAGACAGATTTACCCGAAGTATAGGCAGGACATCTTTGTAATATAAACTTCATAATTCCTCATGATAACCTCTCTTCTTTCATAATTTGGTTACAGCAATTAAAATTTGTATCATGTGTTTGACTTAACCATTCCCTCACATCTTGACTAATACCTGAGTCAAAACAGCATTTTCACTTACATAAGGGATCTATAGAATTTCATTATATATATTAATTCTTTTTAGAGCTCTGTCCAGAACACATCTTTGTTAGGAAGTATAGAGTAAGGTAATTGAAAGAATTCTTGTAAAGCTCTTGCTGTAGCTGTAGCAGGAACTGGTTACTTATTTTCCCCTTATACCCCTATGCTGTGGATTGCAATTTAGCCTGCATGAGAGAGATGCAGTCTTTCACTAGAGTTAAAATGAGTAAAAATATTTTCTCTATATGCTTTACAGGAAATATAAATATAGTTATCCCATCACACTGCAGGATCCAGACAACTGATGCTGACAATCAGAAATCCTTATCCTATCAATCCCCCCCAGCAAAATACCCTGTAGCATCTCCTAACCACATCAAAAAACATGCCCACCAAACATCCAGTTATTTTTAGTTACAGATTGGTAATTTCTGTTCACACTTATGACAGAAAACACGTGCATTATATAAGCTCACACTAATATATATGTATACACAAGTCTTATTTAGATTACATATTAAAGGCTCACTTATGCTTATAGACAACAGTTCAGATTCTTAGAATTTTATCCTCCAAAGCATTTCTTTGTGCATTAAATTTCAGAGTAAGTTCTATGAATTTAACTGCATCATTGCTGTCAGTCTTCTCAGGCTTCTCCTCCTCTGACTGTTCCACAAAAAGCAGCTGGAACTAACTGCATCCTATGTGGTTGGAAGTCTAAATATGCAGCTTTTTTATTTGGAAAAAATAATCCTGTATTTGTGCACAAGTAATTTTAACAGAGTATTTCAGGTTTCACTGTTATTAAATTCTATTATATTTTTCCATAAGGATGAGTGAAATGCAATCTTTAGAAAGATTGAGTGCAGTTCCATGGCAGAGCTAGGTCTTTCCACATGACAAATTTTAATTGGGTTGTAATTGGGTTGCAGAATCCTGGCAATTTTCCTCAGGCTGTGTGCCAATTATGTAGCAGAACCAGAATTAGAACCCAGAACTTTTTGCCTTCAAAACTATCTCAGTCCTATGGCAATGCCAACCTTATGAAAAGTTTGGCACAATTTTGAAAAAGAAGTTGTTCCTAGGGTAGACATTCTAGCCGCAAGAAAAGAAAAGTCATTATTAAAGGGTAGCATAGCTGGTCATCCGGCTGATACTTTGATATGATTTCTACTGGGCTACTTACTAACTGATAGCGCATTGTTGGAATGTTACTTTCTTATCACAGAACACATTTCCCCCCCCAACCCTTCTCCCAAACACATTCACAGAACTTTTAATGAGAGGGAAAAGGGAGGAATGTCACTACTAAGATTGATCAATGGTTTGACAGAAGTAAGAATCACATCATTACTGAAACACAAAGCCTTCTCAAGATGTTAAATCTTTTTCTCCAAAAAGAAATACTTTCAATCTTCCAGAGCCCAGTAAAACCTTTCACTCATTAAAAAGGGAGACAGTGATGTGTTCCAGAAATGTTCAGCTTTAATGAAAGCAACTGCTGTGGTTGCTTGATGGTTGGTTGCTACAGTGGTGTGAAAACAGTATTATCTGACATCTGTACATCACGGGAGCTGGATCTGGAGTTCAGCAGATCCAGATTACCACACTGCATTATGAAGGGCAAGGAGAAAGGGGAGGGAATGCCAAATTCATCACTTGTATTATACCCACTGTGTATTCATTGAGCCACAGCAATGACACCAGATTCTCCTCTGTCTGTCCTCTTGGCTAGAGGAAACGTGATGCAATAAGGGTAAAAGAATAAAAAAATGGAAAAAAAATAAGAGCATATTCATATTAACAATGATTTCAGACCAGGTCAGAGGCCGAGTATTACAGCAATATGCTACTAAGAATTAAATACAGATTTGGGACTCCAGCGTGGTTTCTTACTTCTTGGGCAGATCAAGAGCTGCAGCCTCAGTCACAGGGGCCTGTTGTAATTTACACAAGACCTCTGGAGGCTTGGCGATTAGATGAGGAAAAAATCAGTCAAAATAAAAATTGTGAAGGCGGGAGCTCAGGGACAACAAGCAGGTGAAGTTTCCCTTCTACCAGTGGTTAAAACACAAAAAAAATTAAGAGGGAAAAAAGGAAAAATATAAGAAATAATAAAAGCAGCAGAAGCAACTCCACACACTTCATGGAGACACTCCCACCTACCCAGAAGTGGAAGAAGTGGGTTTCCATTTCAGGGTCTGTGCCTGCTGGGGTTCCCACACAGGTGTGAGTACAGCCAAAGCTGCTCTGAAGGCACAAAAGGCAGCTTTAGGCAGGAATCAGCTAAGCACGGAAACTTTAACCACGCTGGTTTCCGACTTAACATCCCACTTCCCGAAGTTCCTCGCTGTATGTCCTCCTTAAACACACTTGAATACACTGAGTGCATCAGATCTAGTTCTGATCTCGAGGGACTTGTTCAGAGTTTCAAACAACCACCTGTCTGTCCTGCAATCCAAGCTATCAACCTTTAAACCAGCTTCAAGTAACTTTTACAAAGTGCATATTCAGTCCTCAAATTAAAGCTACTCTGAGAATTTCATGATCTTACACAGTCCTGCACTGCCACATCACAGACTGTAACTGAACCAATCCACTGTCAGTGAACAAGAATGGTTTTTCAAACAAACTTATCACCACACAAGAAAGAGCTCACCTTCCCTAGGCTAGGACTTAAAGTGTGCTGGAATCCCCAGGCCACAGCTGCTTCTGTGTTACACATAACCCTGTTGTAAGTAATACAATTATTCTGGAAGAATACCAGTTAACAAAACAAGATGTAACTCAATACTAATGATCTTAAGGCAGTAATAGGCCTTGTATTACAAAGCTGTGGCTTCCAGAGCTAATAAAACAAAACAGTGGTTTCCAAATCAATTTACTACTCACTTCTATAGCATAATGCAGGGCTGAGGAGGCTGGATGTAATGAAAGGTTCTCCAGTGGCTTAATATAGGGTTTCTCCCATCCTGAAGCCAAGGACCATTCAATTGTCAGCATATTATCAGTGAACACAGTTCCAAACACCAAACCAGTGGGGTCTGGTTTTTCCTTGAACGTCGTAGCTGGGGTGATAATCAAATCGGAAGCCTGAAGGAACACGGAGAAAAAAAATGAAGTGTATCAAAATAATGAAGTCAGACTGATTTAAAGTTATTCTGCATCAGTGAACAAGGACAAACCATAATATTTTCTCTATAGGGATATTTAATGACATGATGGTTAAAAGCAACTAACCTCTAAGTAGCTGGCAAAATATTCATGAAGTATACACAAACATATACACAGTGCTTTTAAACAAGAAGTAGCATATTTTGAAATTCTGTTTAAGAATTAAGTTAAAAAAGCAGTACAAGGCACAAAACCAGAAAATTAACACATGAAATCTCTTGGACACTTAGGTTAACACCCCTGTACAAGTTCCAGAAACGTCCAATTGCTGTACCTCAGAATATAACCTGATCATCAGAAACTACTCACCATCACAACTAAGTAGATGTTACACTGATTTTCCTTTAAAACACAAAAGCAATGTGAGAGGTCAGAGCCAGCAGTCAGCAAGTTACTTATGTCACAATAACGTGCTCATTCACATACTTATTATCCTCGAAAGATCCAATTAGCAAGGAAGGCTAAATGCTTCCCTGCATGAAGGACTGTAGAGACTCTTATAAGCCACGACTAGCTGTAGACATGTGCCACGGGGTTTTGTACTGGTTTTGACTGGGATAGAGTTAATTTTCTTTATGTCAGCTCCTCTGTGAATCATCCTAAAGAACAGCAGAGAAATAAAGGATACAGATCTCTGGCATGCCACTCCCCTTTTATTTACAGGTAAGGGCTGAATAACTAGAGGGGGCTACAAAGCAGGCAGAACCTTGATTCACCCTCTCCCTTCTCTTCCTATGCCACCTGAGCATTTAAACTGTGCTGCTGAGAGGCAAGAGAGAAGTCAAAGAATCATATTCAAAGCTCCATTTGCCTTGCTAACATAACTCAGAAAGCACTGCCCCTTACTACAGACCCCCAAGCGAAATCCTGCTCCTCTGTGTTAGGTGCATATGGAATAGACTGGAACAGAGGTAGTCCAGAATACTGACCAAATTATTTGCAAATGCTCTTAAAAGGTGCTTCTGCACCTTGTATCAGTGTCTTGGACATCTCACCCCCTGCATGCATTTTGCAAAATGAGATAAAATCAGTCCCAAGCTTTTGAAAAATAATTACGTGTACCCCCCGTCTCTGTGAACAACCTAATTTTCAAAATGTCTTTAATTAACAAAGACCTGTTTCTTATTGATTAGTTGTTTTGGTTTAGGTTTGGTTGGGTGTTTTGGGTTTTTTTTGCTTAATGGCATAGATGTGAAATTAACTTAGAGCAAGAGCACACGAATAGCTAAAAGCTTGTTTCAACTATTTCCAATTATAAGGCTTGTCTAGATATTACAGTGCATTAGTGTGGTTGAATTAATACATAATCTGATGAAACAACAATTACTCTTCTTAACTCTTCCCTTTATTCTTCTGACAGTGAATGCTCCAACGGGAGAAGCACCACCTAATGATGTCCTGAAACTAATTTTACCCAGCAACCTCTTATAACTCTTATCACGCTTTAGGTATCACAGAAGACGTGGATCAAAATAAAAGCCATGGAGGAGTGTTTGCAGTTACCCACAATGTAAGACTCAGCTCAAGAAAACAATTACACGGGAGCAGGGATGTCAATGGGGCTTAAATGAGCATGTGGAACACAACTATATTTCTGAGTTTATCTCTGCAAAGAATCACAACTTCTAAAGAACTCCCTGTTGCAGTGGTATCAACTGCTTTCCCTGGACTCCAGGCTTCTGCATCTCAGGTCACTTTCATTAGGGTAATTATCTTTACAATAAACTCGCATGAGGACCATAATTATCATATGAAGCCTCTTCTAGAACTCCCATCGGTGTTCCGATTTCTGCTTTTATGACTCCATGTGCTGCTTCCTCAATGGTGGTAGCACAGCTACTTGAAAGGCATCACTTCTAAATAGTTCGTTAAGTTTGCCGGGGTTAACATATAGTTTTTATTTAAGGATGGGAAACAATTTTAACCTGGCTCTTCTCATAAACCCCCAAGCACGTGTAGAAGGAGCAGCAAGCTGCAGCCACAAGTGAAGAAACATACTGCATTTCAGTTTGAGTCCCTTGAAGGCAGAAAGCCTAGAGAGGTACGAAACTATGAGCTTTATCCAGGAAAGAAGCAGACCACAAAGCTTCCTGGAACTGCACAATCTGACCAGGGATCCCATTTGCTCTTTCTCACCTCCTTCAGAATTTGGGGAAACCAGTTTTCCTTCAGACATTGTGCCAACACCTGAGTCAACAGTGTCAGGTACAGCACTTGATCTGCAACAATTCCTTCAAACAACAGTAGGAACACCCTGGGTAAGATCGTAGAGACAGGCTAAACTGTGCAGAGCAGTAGGGCAACAATCATTCAACAGGCAAAAAGACATTTTTTCTCATTCTTATAATCCTGTTAAGCTCTCTGGAGAGCCACTTTTTTGGCCATTACTTTCTTAATATCCTTTCTTTTCCTTTATTCGTTATGCCTTTTTCTCATGTTTTTTTACCAAGCAGTGCAAATTAAAAGCATGCAACAGCACCCAAATCTTTCAGAATCTAATTGCTTTTTATGTCAAGACAGCATCAAGTGCTGAAATGCATTTGGTCTTCTTTTTCCATGGAGGATAACACATTGGGAGGAGGTCTTGGAGGATCATCCTTGGAGTAGTCTCTCTCACAGTGTGGTGTGCATGAAGTATTACCTCAACTCCTTCTGGGTCCCTGAGAAGTAGGACACCCTTCATAACATCTCGCCTGGCTCATAAGGCCTTCAGGCTTCACTTGTTCAAGCAGCACCAGGAGGGAAATCAAACACTCAGAAGAACCCACAAAAGGGGAGCAGAGCAAGGCCACGTGACAAATGCCAGGGTACTGATTAAGTATCAATGTCTATTATGTTAATGTCACTCATTAAAAGCTTATCACAGTGCTACCCTGCTATCACCTTTGACTTTTATAAACAGCAATTTACTTTCCTCCTTTGCCAACATTCCCCAAGCCTTAAAAGCAGCATATTAAGGATGCATTAGAGATTGGCATTAGCATCCCTCTAGATCTCCACTGTTTGTACCGCCAACACAAAGGGGAATTTTCAGCTAGGCTTGTGTTTTGCTTGCTTTATCTAACATGCTCTCAAGCACCTCTTGACACTGCTGCCTAATAAAACCATTAACCTGGAAGGAAAGCTGGTAAATGCTGAACAAAAAGGATAAGGGAGATTAAAAAAAGAAGTAGATGTGGCACACAGTGCAACTATTTGGCACCTGTTGCCTAAAGTAAAATGATATAGTCCCAAGCCTGGAAAATATCCATGTCGCAGCAGAAAGGAACACAGAAGATGTACCTGTGACATACTAGCCCAGGAAATTCTGACAGGGAATCAGAACTATCAGAATGCCCTGCCTGTGGTAGACAAAAGGGAGTGCTAGGGAGACCAGCTGGATACGGTTGATTTTCAGGGCTTATATGGCAACACTACACCTAGGAAGGGCCACTGGCTCTAAGAGACACTTTTTGAGAACCCGCTCATCTGGCAAGTACCTGTTAATTCCAATGCAGTTTCTTCCAGGGCAAAGCTTTACCCAGCCCAAGTAAAGAATATATATTGTGACCTCTTGTAACTAAAATTCATCATTTGATCAAAACAGATCCTCCCAGTTATGAGCTGGTTCAATTTAAAGGTGACGTGTGGGCCATGTCAATTCTAATCAAAGCTGTGACAAGACATCCTGGTGCCTGGTGTCAGGTTAATGCTTGTTCCACCCGACCTTTGCAATAGCTTTAAGTGGATTTGAAGCTGACAGCAGCCAGAGCTGTTACTCTCATTCTTATATTCCCACCTTTCTTACCCTAGACAGCTGTCTCAGGTAGGTGCAGATGGCAAGTGCATACTTTGTCCTTGGCTGCAATTATTTTCACTGCACTGAAAATCCAGTGAAAAATCTAGACCATAAGCAGTCAGTTGGGCAGCTGAAACAGGTCTAACTCATTTGACATACCCAAACTTTTCTAAACACTGTGCTAGGCCATGCATTTCTATCACTTAATTGAGTAAAAACACAACCGACAGTCCCCGCTGTAAAATAGCTCACAGGTTACCCAACAACAACAGCAGCAAGTCTCAGTAGAGATCCTCAAAATGTTAACACGCACCCAAGCGAGACTGACTGTAATCTCCTCTGATGAATCAGGTAACCTTCCTGACTTTCAGTCTAGGTGATTAATTCAAGATCACAAGCAACTGCAATAATTTTTTATCTTATGCTGAATTTGTAAGCATATCTTAGGAAAGATCAGGGCTTTCTCATGCAATAACAAACACAGAAGCACGGGCAAAATCAAATGATTTGTTTTGCCCTTGCACTTCTGAACAGCAGTGGAACAAATTCTGAGAAGGAGACATTACAAAAAGCATAAGGAATTACTCTAATGGGGAAAGATAACACAGCATAGCTGAGAAGAGCTGGAGAGAATGAGTTTGGGTCTACACAGAATGGTACTGAAGCAGGCTCCAGGGATGAGAATTTCCTGTCTTTCAGTCCTTATGGCTGCAGCATCCTCATCTTTTCCAGCACTCAACTTATCAGCACTCTTCCCCACACCTTGGGCATTTGCCTGTGGTTGTTGTGAGTTGTGGCTGAGAGATTGACAGGGCAGGGGTGGGAACCAAGTTTGTGCAGGTCTTCATGTCACTGGTATCAGGAATGCTCATGGGACATTGAATGGATCTTGGTTTTCAACATGCTTAGGATACCACAGCTCAGCAGATGATAGGATCAAACCTCATGGGCCAAGACAGTGTAATATCTGGGTGATATGGTTTAGGGGTTACAGTGACAGTGCTGGATTGACAGCTGGATTTGATGATTTTAAAGTCTCTTCCAACCTTGATGATTCTATGAATAAGGAAAACAAAACAAAACCAAACAAGTGATGCAAAAGACCACAATGGCTCACTACCAGCCACCTGATGGGTCACCA